GTAGCCCAATTTACGGTAAATCAATGGCGGGGTAGTCACAGTGACACTGTAGAGGGATGGGTAGTTATAACTAAAGCAGTATCAAATAACCAAGGGAGTGGTATTCATATTTACATCAAGAAGGAGAGGGGTCGTTGAGAGATAGCCTGGCAAGGTGTTGGGATATTTACAGCAGGGAGAGGGGTTTGTAGTTATATTTACATCACAGAGAGGTCGGTGTACTACACCCATGAGAGGGAGGTGTAGTTATATTTACAACAGAGAGGGTCGTTACATTACACCCATGAGAGGGAGGTGTAGTTATATTTACAACAGAGAGGGTCGTTATATTACACCCATGAGAGGGAGGTGTAGTTATATTTACAACAGAGAGGGTCGTTATATTACACCAAGGAGGGACTGGGGGTGTAGTAATATTTACAGCAAACAGAACTTATCCCCAACATCCGGGTAATATCGACGTTTCCAGCCGCTCCATACCGTAACGACCTAACACCGGGGTGAGCAAGGTGCGATGCCCTCTAGCCCCTCCTGCACTGAAGGGTGAGGGGGTGGGGGGGGGGGGGGGGGGGGGAGGCAGAGACTCCGGGGGCTTTAAACAAGGCCGGAAAGAAATCGAACCGGCCCGAGTTTTGTTCACACGATACCAGACCTAGACTGGAAAATAATAATCGTATCGATAATAACAGTCATAATGACGGGCTGTCATGGGCCGTATCGATTCCGGGGTAGGTCTGACTAGGCCGGGTCCCCTTGTACTATAATTGACATGTTACACTTGGAGAGGGGGGGGCGGGTTCTGTGGCATGGAGTAATTAGAGAAAAGAAATCCTTTAAAATTAATGACTAATTAGTCCGTCGCGTCATCGTTTTCGGAAGTACTTAAACCCAAATTAAAGTCTCGGAGCTTATAGCTGTGTTGAGCTTAAGACGCGATGTGTTCAGACACGATGCGAAGAGGTTCTCCGGCGTTGATTTTAATCAATCACCAACACGGCGAAATCAAGGCGACAGCACAATCGCTTTTAAGTTTCAAACTCATTAATTTCTACTTTAACTGCAATTGATTTTTAGCCTCTAAACAAAAAAAAAAATCAGAAAAAAACAAGATAAAAGAGAGTTAAAATTGAAACAGACTTTTTTTACCATAAACGTGTTCAACATTCATTTAAAATTCGTAATTTTATTTATTTTAAAGAAGCAAGTGCTTAATTTTTTGCTCATTTAAAAACCATTTTCGCGAATTCGTCTAAAGCTTAGCGGCCTTGTTCATGAATATATTACTCCCATAATTCCCTCCCCTCTTCAAACCGATGAATTGACAACCTGACACAAACGACGCAACCAGGGCGGGGTTGCGTTGTATTCCTTTGACCGACGAACCTTGGAAAACTTGAAGCTAAAGGGTTAACAAGGAAACGATCAAGCACTCCACTGTTAACCCCTGGGCCATCTTTACCATTATTTCTGGAACTATTTGTTCCTCGGAGGTCCGCTTAACCCGCTACCTGCCGGGACAGTTTTGTCTTCTTCTTGGTTGCAATCACCCAGTTTATATATATATATATATATATATATATATATATATATATATATATATATATAATACATACATACATAGGCCTATATTTTTCATTTAGGTCTATAAACCATTAGCCAAAATAACTAAAAAAATACCTTTCTGTAAGTTATAAATGGTTTGTTTCATTATTTTCCTGCAAATCTAATCCAATCCTACTTGTTTACAAGATTTAATTATAAGAAAAACATACACAATTAATTTAACGATCATCCAAATTTGTATTGCATTAGTTAATTCGAATTGAATTCGATTATTTCATATATTTTTTGTCTTAATACCGCTCAATCGATAGATATCAATGTGAATTATTGTCTCTATTATGGTTAATTAAATTTGAAACTATTTACAATATTTTTTCTCTCCCTTTATCCAGTTGTGTGTGGATGTTAGAGTAGGTTATTTGATCAATGTTTGGTTGAGAAAAAAATCGCCAGAGAGAAGGGAAGGGGGGTCGCAGTTTTTTGTCAACATGGAGCAGCTTTGTGGAGAGGCAGGCGAAGGTTTATCCGGCTACGGGGTTAGCTTTGTTGCTGGCGTGATGGTGAAAAGAGCTGTAAACATTGCGACACTTTCGATGGGACGGGGGTTTGAAAAAAAAAACGGTAACAAAATGGGGGACAAGCACCGCAGGCTAAGTTAAAGGGGGGAGTGGGGGGAGTGGGGGGACGTATTTCTACGTTACGCATGACGGAGATTTTGAAATATTTTTTTTTTCTTGCTTGATCTACCGGTGTAATGGGGGACAGGGGGAGAGAGGGTGGGTTGCTGTTTTTTTTTTTCAATCATGTGCCAAGTGTATAGCTCTAGCCCAGGGGTAGGACACAGCTGTGGAGAGCAACAGAGAGGTATGGCGCGGCTCCTAACTTAAAGGATCTCAATCCTATTTTTAATACAGTCTAAATATCATTAAACACCTACACACTCCCCCACCACATAAGCAAACACACACACACACATATCTAAACACCAACACCCGCGTACCAACAAATAAGACAACGAAAATAATTTAAAACAAGATTTAAATTATACAAAAAAAATTCGCGAGCTAAATATTCCAAACACGCCTGTTTTAGTCCTACTCATTCAAAATTTAAATGTTCGATTTGGATTAGGATTAACTTAATCCGGTTAGCTGTTTGGGATCGCGTGTGCCTAGGCGTAGAGCGACTCGCGTGAAATAAAAATAGTTTGTATTGTGTTTTAAAACTGGGTGATTGTTCGATTTTGTTGCTGGTAATGTAGTTTACCAGCTTGTGCATGCTTATCAACTAGCATCCGATTACATTTTTTGTTAATATTTTTGGGTGTTAAGAATTTTGGAAAAAAATGCCTAATTCTCATCTAGTTAGCAATACCATAAAAATATTCAATATTTTAAAAAATTAAAGGTGGCAGTTTAAAAAAAAAGTTTTTTTTTATTAGTAGTAGGCTACATGCATGTAGTATTTGAGATTTATGAAATAAATACAAATTTATCAGAGTAGACTTAATTTTTCCCGTAAATGAAAAATAATTGTCTGTTTTTACAATTAAAATATTTCTCTGTTTAGAAATGTCTTTAATTTACATAATTTATATCCAGTAATATTTTTTATTTGTTTGGAAGAAGAAAAAAGTAATTTAATGGACATGATAAATTTTAATTTGTACACAAAACTAAATGAGAATGTGATGTATATAAATTATTACACAAGTGACTGGAATTTCCCGGATTTAGTTTATAAGTGTAAACGTTAATAAAAAATACATAGTTTTTTAAATGTGTAGATTTTAAATGTGTGAATACATTTTTTAAACATTGTATATTAGAATATAAATAGTGTAGGGCCTATATAGTTTGGCTTAGTAAGGAAACGGAAAACAAATATTTAGAACATTTAATATGTGTTTAGTAAATAAAATTGAATTATAATCGTGATTTTATATCTTTAAAAATAGAATAAACAAATAGAATACGTCGAATGTTAATAATTTGTAAAAAATTATGTTAATTTGTATGTTTGATAGAAGTATCCTGCAAAGTAATTCATTTGTTAAGTCTTGAAGTAGAGAGAGAAAGATTTTTGTTACTTAAAAATTGTGGTCTTCAAAACAATTGGTTGAAAATAATTCCGTAAAATTAATAAAAGCTGCAAATCACAAGGGATGAAAAATCCCCTACGGAGACGTATAAAATCGAATTAAATTTTAATACTCAGTACACAAGAACAACGGAATATAACAAATATTTTTATAAATTATAATGGTCTGAGTTATATTTTTGTGAATTATAATGGTCTGAGTTATATATTTATAAACTTTAGAGACCTGTGTGATGTTTATGAATTGTAGTGGCCTTTGTAATATTTTTTAAAAGTAATAGCCTTTGTGATATGTTTACGAATTGTTGTGATATTGCAAATAATATCTCCTGCTTGTTAAAAATAATTACCCTACTTTATCTCCAAAATTTTAGTTGTTTTTTATTTCTGTTCTATGAATGTTATTGTAAGCCTAAACCAACACAAAATATTGTGTTTCTATCATGCCCGGCTTTCCTATTTTGATAGATGTTAGCTAATTATTAGTTTAATTAAAAGTGACCAGGTGCTAATTTAATCAAAACATGAAGGGGGTGCCGGTTGTAAAATCTGGTGCAGTAAAAACTGGTGCAGTAAAAGAATATTTCATATGGTAAGAGTGGTACAAGTGATTTAATATTGAATTAATTTAGGTTGGTTTCATCAACTTTGTGCCAATCTGTTAGATACTCTATTTATTCACTGTCAGTAGAATTAGATCTTCGGGCGATTGAGACTTTGTGATGGGGATTAAAGGGATTTGAAACTTGTTTGTTTTTTTTATTTTGTTAGAGCATTTAAAATTTGAGTGATGGTTATAGTTTTACGTATCTGAGTAGTTTTCGGAGTCGTAATTGAAATTTTTTATTTAAAAAATTATTTAATTGTAAAATATCCCTGTATTTTGGCATCAAAATATGTTTAATAATTAATTTGTGTTCATTTCATGATTTTGTTGTGTTAGATATTTGTTTTTTTTTTCATTCTAGCTTTAATTTTTTTAAAGAGATATTTTGGCTAGATTAGTGTATGCATATTAAAATAAATAATAATTATACAATTTATAATTGTTTAAAGACATAATCTGGACGGATTAGTATAGAATTATCGAGCAAAAATATTAGATCCATATTTTATAATTGTTTAAAGATATAATCCGGTAGGATTAATATGGGAATATCAATATAAAAATCTGTTAATTCCATAGTTAATTTATTTAAATAAAAATTTCAAGTTAATGAGAATAGGAAAAGTATTAAAAGAAAATAATGATTCTAGATCTACATTGTGTTTTTGTTTTCCAAGATAATCTGAGAGGATTAGTGGAGACACATAGAACAAAAATCAGATGGACTTACCGATTCTTCGTGGCAGCGGCTCTGTCCCTCTGTCGTCTGTTTTTAAACCAATTCCCGACCTGTGTGGGGGTCAGGCCCGTCGCCTGAGCCAGCTCCCGTTTTTTGGTGGGGTTGGGGTAGGGGTCCTGCAGGTACCACTCACGGAGCAGGTTCCTTGTACGCTCCTTGAAACAGTGCGTCTTCTGCTCACCGTCCCAGATGGTCCGGGGGAGGGGGTACTTCTTCCTGACCCGGTACTTGTCTACGGGACCCAGGGGCCGACCCCGGAGCTTCTCGGCCTCCTGGTAGTGCGCCTCCAGCCACATAGCCTGCAGCTTGGCGTGGGATTCCTTGGTGAACTTGTGGTGCTCCAGGATGTGGTACAAGTCCCGGAAGTTGCCGGTATGGAAGGAGACCAGAGCCCGGGCCCGGATGACGGACTCGTGTTTGTTTAGAGCCTCGCACGCGCTGGGGTTGACCGGCAGTGACCACAGGAACCTCCCGAGTCTCTCAATGTCCCCGGATTCTTCCAGCGTCTCGCAGACTTTGGCGACCTGATGCGGGGTGAAGTGCAGCGTCGGCAACATGGTGGGGATGGGGACTTCCAAACCGTACAGCCCGAACATATTCGCCGGGAACGCCGCGGCCGTGAATCCATTGGGGAAGTTGAACGTCGCGGCGGCTGCAGCTGCTGCAGCTGCCGCAGCCGTTGCTGCTGCCGCGGCCGCTGAAACCGACACGGACTTGACGGACTGTTGCGGAGATAGCCCGGCCGGCAGAGAAAGCTTGCTAGTGCACCGTAGATCCATCCATTTAATTGTGAACACGTCCACAGAAATAAAGATTCCGAGCGAGATCCTGCTCCTACGGTAGCTGGGTAGACTGTGTGAAGGATCGTCAGGCGGGCCCAGGAGTCGTTGCCTCGACAATGCTATCGCTGACTGTGATTGATAGAGAGCCGAGTGGGCGGTGCGGCTCAAGCTATATTATGTCCTGGCCCGGAGAACGAGCCCATAGTTATACCACCACTGATAGTTTTCAGCCGACGGCCTGCGGGGATTGATCCGTCTCATGGCCCGGATCTGCAACGCGCGCTGCGATTGGTCGCTCGATCCGCCCGCACGCTCGGGCTTCACTAGGGATCATGTACGAGTAGGCGTGGCTTCGGGACGTCACTCATGGGAGTTGGAGGTTAAAAAAAAGTGGGGGAATGATGAGACGGGGGGAGGGTAGGAGCGAGCCAGTGTGAACAGAGTTGTCAAAGCTTTTAGCGAGAGAACAGCGTGGAATCGTGGGGTGAGGCGGGCGGGGTGGGGAAAATAAACTCTCTACCTCTGGTAGTGGGAGACTAGATCTAGTTAACGCCATCACGGGCGCCATTCTTGTGGGGTTGTAGTTGCATTTTTTTCTGTCTCTGACTCTACCCTCTACACTGAAGATGGGATCTATTCTAGTTTGAGTTACCTAAAACACAACCCTTAAAAATTATTTTATTCTCATGGCGAAATTTTCACGACGGGATTTCATATAAGGCGTGTGTTTTAGCACCGTTTATTTAATTAAGTCGCGTTGTGTTTTGTTAATGTTTTGGTGATGTTTTGGTGATGTTTTGGTGACGTTTTGGTGATGTTTTGTTAAAAGTTTTGGTAATGTTTACATATTTTATCCCTATTTTCGTAAGTCTTGTACTTAAAAAAAAAGTATGCTTTTTTTTTTTTACCAATATCCCACCCCAATTCTTACCTTAACCCTAATTCTAGCCCTATAACAAAACCTGATGTTACTATACCATTCATTACCTAACCCCCAATGTGAAGACTGGAAATAAAAACTCACAACTCTTCTAAAACACCAACACTTGTTCCATTAAATGAGTTGGGTACAATTTCGCCTAACCCGGTATAAAGATATGTTCCTGTTTTTAAGTTTAGGATTAAAGTTTTGGTTAAAGAGAGGACACATATAAAAGTTATATTTAAAGTTAGATATAATCTGATGTCGTTATTATGATGCTGATTTAATGAGATTAATTGATTTGGGCACAACACAGAAGTCATTAAAAAAATTAATCAAAAATGGAATAGTTAGTCGGTCTGGTAATTGGAAATGTTGGGTTGAGCTACGTGGCAAGAATTCTGTGATAGGGTTAGGGTTTTGATGGTGGTTGGCTTGTACTGTTGCACTGAGCGGTTCGTGGTTGGTGTTGGTATACAAACATACAGTCCATGTTTGTTTGTTTGGTTGTTTGGTTGGTTGTTTGTTTGTGGGTGGTGTGTATCATCTTGTGTGGCGCGCATCACATCAACGTGTGTAGTAAACAACACACACACCATTTTGATGTGAGGTAGGTCTACCCACCTCACAATTTCTGTGAATTAAACAACATATTGTGATGTTAGATGCAAAATACACCTTTTGAGTGATGTGAGATACACTACACACCATCTGAGTACACACAAATTACCTAATGTGTGTACCTACACACCGTGTGTTATATCTAACACACATACCTGTATGTAAAGTACAGTACACACACAAATACATTGTCCCCCTCAAAATGAATTACTTTGCTCAAACTAAAATAAAATACTCCACTCAATATGAACTACTACGCTCAGTAAAAATTAAATTACTTTCTTTAAAATGAATGACTAAACTTAATGTGAATCACTCAACCTTTCCATTCCACCTACTATAAGAACAACCTCATTATCATCTCACATACTGTACATTTCCATTTAATGTATGTCTTGACTGACAAATAACTAAAATTAATATGCAACTCCGTAATATTTTTAAATTCAATATTTATAGTACAACCCACTAAGGATTACATTGCAATGCCTATATTGCAATGTATATAATAACCCCATACAAAATAAGCAATTATATGTGCATAGTTAAGTACACTTGGCATCCGCCATAAACAAAACAACGTTTAGCATCAGTCTCAGATTTCTAGCTAAAAGTGAATACCCTTGATTGTTCTGTATTTTATTTATATATTTATTTATTTGTATAACAAAAATAATGCTCAGTAATGGAATTTTCTTTAAAATAGGACTTTAGATTACTGGTAGTAAAATAAAAACTAGTATAATTGTTAATGCAAACTCCATCCCTAACCGTATGTCCCAGAAAAACCATGACTCTAATCCTGTCCCTAACACTAAGCCTGAGACAGTACTACTAACAACAAACTTAACACACGGAACTGGGATAATGGGTAAATCAATACTTACAATTTTCTTAGTTGTTTGTACACATTCGTTACTGAGACAATAAGCTGAAGTAACTGCATACAATGATGCTTTTAATTTCGCTTCAGCTATTATAAAAATATAAATATAAAATTTATAAATATATAAAATATGCTTGGCTCAATAAATACTATATTTAAGTTGATATTATTGACTAACAGTGGGCTCTGTACACACATATACACACACACCACACAGACACCACCCACCCGCACACACACTACACAAAACAAACAACACAAAACAGTGTACTGTTGTTGTTCTAGTTCAGTTAATGCTACTGCTATTTTTAACAACCAAACAGCCAAATGTAATGTCAGCAAGCGACTTATCCAGTCTGTTAGTCATACCGCTAGAGTATTATGGTCAAAGACAGAACAGCGATCCATACCTTTGACACTGAAAACTAAGATTTAATTAGGTACCTCATAACGGCAAAGTGCCATGAAATCCTCCATTTTACTCTAATCTTAAACTAACGGCAAGTCGTTACATAATATTTTGTGGATAGCGTATGTATTACTAACATCCCATATTTTGTAGAAAAAAAAATCAATTTGCAACAAAATTATATCTACCACCACCCTGTCCCCTCCCCCTAGAAAATGTCGGCTCACCAGCCGAGTAAAAGCCCGAGGGTCCTCCCTCTCATCTCCACCCCTAAAAGGTTCACTACCCCCCGTCGGGAGATGCACACCGATAGACGACGGTGCGGAGTTGTGATCACAGCCGCAAGATGGCAGCCGCACACACTCGCTGATTTAAAATTGATGCAACACACACACAAGATCAGATTTCTGATTTCTCTGGCCGGGCTTTGATCCCGCGCCCTCTGAAGTGATAGGCACACATTTTAAACATGTTGCTATCGCGCGCGTCCGTGTGTCCGTGTATGTCCCCGGGCGGAAGTGACGTATCAACCGTGGCCATCTTGTAAGCGATGTTTGCAGCCATGCATAATGAACGTGAAGTTGTGCCTGTATTCAATTGACTCCAGTCCGTGTAATGATAATTGCTCATTAGTTTGTTTACATTTTACATTATGTATACGCATGTCTATTTTAAGTCATACGTTATTTATAAACATTACGTCAAGTACTATTTATATATTTTGCATCACGTCCTATTTATATAGTTTGCCTCAAGTGCTATTTCTACACATGAAATCATGTTTTATTTTTACATTTCCATTTGACTTTGCTAGAGCTACTTACCTATAGATGAGGAGAGGTAAGGTGAATGTAGGTGAAGTAGAATTTATTTGGTGGTATACAGCCGAACTCTGACATGTTGACCAGCATTAAGCTTGGCTTACAAACTGTGAGGCTTCAACCACACACACTATGTGTCGTGTTCCACCCCCCCCCCATTCCCCCCCCCCACAATATTTATGCCTTCCCCACCCCAACAGAAACACACACCCCGCGACTCGTGTCCCATCCCTCACAAAACTCATGCGTCACACTCCCAACACACACACACACACACACGCACACACACAATCACACACATACACACACAAAACCACACACACACACACACACCGTCCCACCAACTACTGATTCTGGGACGCTAATCACCTTATAAGACCCGCTAGACAACACCGTGTATCGATACTACAATACCCCATCAACACAACACTGCAAAACTGTGAGCTGTATATATCGATACTACGCTACATGGTCTGCAAACAGTGATCTGAGTATCGATACTTCAGTACATGATCATCAGTTTACTGCGAACTTATAACCGTGTACAATGTATCGATACTACATTAGACCCTCAATACTTCTCAGCGAATGATGAGCATTAGACCCTCAATACTTCTCAGCGAACGATGAGCATTAGACCCTCAATACTTCACAGCGAACGATGAGCTATATTTATCTTCTTAGATACTAATCACCCCAGCTGTCAGAACATTTGAGTCCCCCACCTTCACGTTTAATATCAATTCAAATCAGTTGATTCAGAATATCATTGAAACAGTCCCATCCTGATCATAATTGCTACTTAGAACATGAGCTGATGCCGCTAGCAGAAGTGACCTTATGCAGACGGCTGATCCGATTCTCTGTTAGCTCTACCTGGACTGTGAATACCTGTTATTAAAAGCGAAGGGCAGACGGCACCACGGGGAACATCTACACGTGTCATTACACGGCATTTATTAGGCTTTTTATTAGTATTGCAGGCAATATTTTCACATCGTTATTATAGAACTAGTGACAATACATTCATGGATGGCATGAAACTACTCTAAATACTTCAATACGGATGTTATAAAATATATGACCATATATTCACAGAGTTAATAAAAATAATGGAAATACATTCATATGAGTGTAAAACTTTTGGCAATACATTCATATAGTTATGTAACTACAAACAACACATTCGTATAATTGTTATAAAACTATGAAAATATATGCTTGTAGTTGTTATATAACTACTGAAAATACAATCATATGATTATTATAAAATTACTGACAGTTTGGACGGCGTGGTCTAAAGTCTTGAGTTCGAATCCGGGTTCAAGTCCGCCTAGCTCTGATGGGTACCCGACTCAATGTAGGGAAAATAATGGTGTTTGGGCATAGTGCTGACCATACTATCCCTACATATGCCGATATCACAGAAACAGGTGAACTCTACTTCACCTGTCCCTTGTAACCTCACATCGAAAGGGAGGTTT